AATATTCCCTTCCCCAAGCTTACACATCAGACCAAAAAGAAAAAGAAATAAAGTTAAAAAAAATAAAAGAGCTATCAATCTATCTCTTTGTGAGCTTCAAAAATACAAGCTGCTAATATTATTTTAAAAGATACAAACTATTGTTTTCATGTCAGATGTATTTTAAATCCATATTTAATTACTACAAAAGTCTCCCTGTGGTATATGTAATCATTCTATAATAAGGTAATTAAAATTCCTTGGCCAGCCAATTTAGGATTTACAGCTTAACTCAAGTATCAGACACTACTAAAGACAAGCCCGGATGTGTTACTTAGAAATAATCATTTAATTTAAGTGGGGGTGACACAACGCAGCCCCATCTTCAAAACCGAACCTATATTTTTAAATATGTTTCAGCAAACTACTGCACACAAGTCCAAATTTAAGTGTAATCCCAAAGCAATGGATCCCAAAGCAACGGATCTAGTGCAAACACATGCAAATTTCTAACAAACTACTGTGTGTGTTGGGGGAAAATGACAACATAGTCTCTAAATAGTAATGCCTCTACTTTAAAGGTCAATCATCTCTTGACGTCCCACTTTGGGACTCACAGTCGTTGAAACTGAGTATCTAGGGGTGGTGCCTGGGTACAAGCTTGTTTGACAAGCTCTCCTCGGGATTTTTCAATGTTAAGTTTTGAAAACTACTGCTTTAATCTTTTCTGGCTCTAAAACACTACTTCTGTGAGTGTCTGTATTTGAATATGCTTTAAACTTAAAACTATTTGTAATTAAATGGGTATCAACTAGTTGCATGGGTTTTCTAACATAATAAGCAACCTGATCGGGCCATATAATTTCATGACTCTGGCTTAAGGGGAAAAAAAGGAGAGTTGGTTATAACAGTCTGTGGCAAAGGCAGATGTGGATACCTATTAAGAAAGCCATGGATTTCTTTTTCTTTGTCAAAATTATCAGAGCTGTTTCCACGTAGCCAAAAATTGCAAAGTCAACTGACCTTATTTTATTTGTTTTCCCTTTGTCTACTCTGTATTGGTGGCAGGTCAGAAAACTGTGGAAAGGGTCCGGATAACCCATCACCTGAGCAATGAGCCCCTGAATACCAGGGATCATTACATCTATTGCCAGAAACATGGAACTAATTCTGGAGCAGCTTTGTCTACATTGCAGCTGTAGAGACAATCTCTTACCTAGCCAGTAGGTGGAGGCACACACAAACTTACTTTGCTTTGCTCTTTGAGCCATAGGACCTTAAATCTTCTAGTAAATTGGTCTTTTGTTTATTCATTTGTTTTAAACCCAGGAGATCAAAGAGAACACAAAAAAGTGAACAAGGACAACTGTTGAGGTGAATTTATAAAAAACGATACAAAAGAACAATTTTAAATTTCTATTTTGTTTCTGGCCCTTTTGAGAAATAAGTAAGTTATTTTAACTGTGAATTCATAATCCACTTCCAGATCCCCAGAGCTAATAAAATAATTCTAAATTTAGAAATAGATCTTTTAAAAATTCATGTTCAACAATCATGTTCAATTAGGGAAAAACTGAACATCAACCGAATGTGACCTAATACTAAGGAATGATTGTTGATTTTGCAAACTATTATGCACTGATATCTATCTATATCTATACCTCAAGTCCTTCTTTATAAATCCAAACAGGAATATTTATAGGTGAAATGGTATTGCTTTAGAAATCACCAGGAAAAAAAGAAAAGGTAACAGTAAAGGACACACAGAACAAGAATGGCAAAATGCTGATAACTGTTGAAGTTCAGTGACAGGTGCACTGAGGTTCACACTATTCTCTTTTTATCTGAAATTTTCCAAAACAAAAAGTTCAGAAAATTCAATTATAAAGCCACGTTCTTGTCATTTGGGTTAACACTGAGATTAGGTGACCAGTAGATATGCAACTTTAATGAAGTCTTATCTCCATATATAGCCACTGAAGAATTATTTCAATGACGAATGACTCATACAAAAAATTAGCTCTATAAAATCTCATATAATTTAACAGGAGAGACTAAAACTAACTTGCTAAATCCCCTGGAAACAATACCTTCCAGTTGTAGAGCGCTTCACCATTTTACAAAGTGAATTCACATCTAGTTCTGATAATCTTATTAAGATTTTAAAGGTAAAAAAAAAACCAACAACCTTGGCTCAAAGAAGCTAGAAGACATGGCCAAAGTCACATAATCAGTAAAAGTGATGGAGCTGGGATAGTAACTCAAGTTTTAGAACATCAAAGATCATCTCTCTACCGTACTGTCACTTAGACCCCTTTGAAACAAATAGCAAACATGATGAAATTTAGGTGAATCTTAAAATTTTGCTTTCTGTGCTCATTACTTGAGAGTATATGATAAACCTTTTTTTTTGTTTTCTCAGTGAATAAAAATACAGACGAAAACAGGTTTCTTGAATAAAGAATAAAATTATAAATCAGAGAAAGTTATTAAAAAAGAATTATAACATCTTAAAATTGGAAGGGACACTAGAGGCCCTCTCTAGTCCAAAATTAAGCCCTTATCTTTAGCCTCCTTGGATGGGTCCAGCTTGAGCTCAAGCATTTCTAGTGAGGAACTGCATACTCTGTGAGACAGCCTGCTTTATTCACTGACTTAGTCTAATCGCTACAGGGGCTTTCCTTGCTTAGAGGTGGAATCTACCTCCTGCTTGTTGATTCCAGTTACAGCCCCTGACCCTACACTGGACAAACATATAATCCTCTTACATATGACACCCTTTTAAATAACTGAAGACTTTCGGTATGTTTTACCACAGCCTTTGTTCTGAGGACTCTCTTGGCAGAAAAAGAAAACCAGTGGATTCTTGAGTAACTAAAGCTTCCCAGTCTTTTCAACAGCTCTTCCATGGTCTTCAAACTGGGACTTGGGGAATCTCTGGGAGTACCCAAAGTCCTTCCAGGAGATGGGAGAATTAGGATCTTTTGAAGGCAATCAATGTCCATTTCTTCACTTGCCATAATTTGATCTGTTTGAAAACAAGTCTATGGTCTGGTGAGTTTCCTTTTACATCTCCACTCATACGAGCCCATCTCAAAAGACGAACTGCTCACCCATCCTGAAAAGCCTGCCTAGCTTCAGACAACTAGGGGATGCGAAGCTCCTGAGAGAGAAACACTTGAGAGCAAAACAGAGCTTCAGAAAGAAAGAGGAGAGCCACTTTATTTCATCCAGATAATATATGCATGGCAAAGCCTTATCTATTTTAGAATTAAAAATCAATAGTAAGATGACTGTCACAGGGATGTCTATTAACACTTTAATTTTGTTTGAAAAATGAAGGCAGATTTTTCTCTGACAGTGAGTCTGATTTGGCTGACTGGCTTGACAATGATGACTAGCTCTGCCATTTAGGTCACATAGCAGACATTTTCCATAAATTGAATGAGATAAAGGTGCTGATCTACCGTTCAGAGGAAAATATATTTAAAAGAATACACAGACCACTAAAAATGATAGCCTCACAATAGAAGTTTTTATCTATCAACTCAAAAGTATGTGAGGAGGTACATGGTTTTCAAAATTCTTTTAGCAGGTATGTCAACAAAAATTTTGAAGGCTGTGACTCTAGGGCAAAATTTGTAGGCTCTTTCCCACTCTGGTTATTGCCTTTGGGAAGCGTACCAGTGTCCTGCTTACTATGAACACTCTAGGGAGAACGGGTAGTATACAATACGGTGGGAGTCTCGGCTTGGTTCTAAATACTATATATTTTTAATTAATGTAGCCAAAGGTTCCATTTAAAGCTGCTGCAGCAACTACCTTTCAAAACATTTACATCTTTTTCACATAAGCAGTTACAACTAAGCTTATAGTGATCTTGTACTTATATAACTGAAGGAGTTTGTATTAACTGGTCTTAAATTTCATCTTTGTTTCAGCTCCTTTGCTACAAACTTGTAAAATGTTTTAAAAATTTGATCTAGATATTCAATGTATTAGCTAGCCCTCCATGGCGGGGGTGGGGGGGGGAGGGGGGGCAGCATCTAACACGGCTCCCAAGGATGACCAGTATCTCCTGGTGTTCACACCTTTGTGTAATCCTCTCCCCTTATGTGTGGGCTGGATCTGGGGACTTACTTCTAACTAACAGAATATGGTAGAAGTGATGGTGTATGATTTCTGAGATTAGGTTACAAGACTGACTTCCATATGGAGAGGCCCGGTGACAAGGAACCCAGGGAAGCCTAGGCCAATGGCTCATGAGGAACTAAGGCTCTCAGTCCAATAGGCTGCTGCCAACAACCATGTGAGTGAACTTGGAAGCAAATCCATCCCCAGTAGAGTCTTAAAGTGACTCCAGTCCTGGCCAGTGCCTCGATTACCACCTTGTGAGAGACCCTAATCAAAGTCATGGAAGAAAATTTTGGAAAGAATAGGATACCATCCCATAAGACTTTATACAGTCTCTTTGGACACAATCATCCAATTAGCTACAAACTACCCAGTTATACTATCCTTAGCTCACATTTCTCCATCTTATGACAAAAATTATATGGCAAACATGTCAAGTGGCTTATTAAAATCAAACACACTGTTATCTACAGAATTTCCTTAATATGCCAATGTGGTAATTATATCAAAATAGGAAGTCAAGTCTGTTATTACTTGTTTTTAGTTGCCAGAGAGGCTTGCTACATGGAGACCTCTACTCCCAACCCAGTCTTCTTCAATAAGACTCCTATGGTCAGAATTTTATATTTTGGGGCCTGCTATTCATCTGAACTCTTTCTCTCTACAGCCTCTTCTCTGAAGTATACTAAAAACAAAGGTAACTAAATATGCCCAACTTTTGCTTCCTTAGCCATTGTGAACCTTAAGATGAGATAATCCTTTTATTCTTGTTACTTTTCTTAAACAGATGAGCTCACAACTACTGTTACATTTTAAAAGTGTTAGCATTATCCCAAACCAGCACTGCTTAAAACTTTAACCCTTAAGAAAATAAAATGTACACTCACAATTCAAAAACCATGTAAAGCATTCCATCTGAGCTATATGTCTCCAATAACTCTACAATGTGGGGATGTTTCAGCATATGACAGATACTGGCTTCCCGCTTTAGATCTGCAAAACAAACACAGGACATACTTTGTTAGGTAAGAACAAAAGACAATCAGAGTGAATGATGAATGAATGGATGTGATCTATGGTAACATGAAGACTTCTCTAACTAAAGAGATGAAATCCCCCATTTAAGCTAAGCTTAACTTTTTACCCTTTAGAATCTCTGACAATATAACTTTTTCATTTTTTGCTAGTCTAAATCTATCTATATATATTACAAAGTCAGCTCTTATTTTTATTTATTTAAGTAATTAAGCTCTATGCCCAGCGTGGGGCTTGAACTCATGGCCCTGAGATCAAGAGTTGCATGCTCTGCCGACTGAGCCAGCCAGGTGCCCCAGCTCTTATTAATAAGAAATGTAAATAGCACAAATACTTTCCCCAAACTCTTGTAATCAAGTCTCAAAATTTATAACTTTCTTGATCTGGTAATAACTCAATTTGCTGTTTTGAATTGTACCTCATTTTCTTAAGTTTTCCCTAAATTGGATAAGAATATGTTGTCTATTCTTTAGCCTAAAACCCAGCATTTACAGATACACACCAGGGAAATTATATGGAATAAAGGGCAAAAAACAATATGATTTAAACAGTAAAGGCACTGCTCCCACCCAGCATCAAAGTCAGAAATTTATTTTACATCATCTATAAAACTTTGATAACTCAGCAGAACAAATTCAGACAATGTAGGTAAGACTATTACGTAAGTTACAGAATACTATTTGGAAAATAAGACCGTTCATATCATCGTCATCATTGTACAAACACATTTTGGGCATAGGTATCACTTGCCATGTCCACATGAAACAAGATAACTAAAGCCTTCCTGTGTTAATAGTGCTGGAGTTTTACCTGTTTGCAGGTGAATAAAATCTAATGTGACATTTTTATATTTGGAAGTAGAAGGCAAACAGGTGAAGAAGAACCAAGGCTGAGGATGTACTACACGAAGCAAAAGAGATAATGTTATTTCCTCTCTGATTTATTAATTCAACTTAGCCTTGTCAATAAGAGCAATCACTGCAGATTGAACCATGGAAGACTTACGTATGGGTAGAATGAGGAAAAGAAGTCAGTAAATTAGACAAAAGAGAAGCCACCGGAAAAGGAAGAATCAATAATACAATATTAAGAAAGTCAACGGAATAGAGGGAATTAAGGCATGAGTAGTTGGAGAAGGCTAAGAAAAGGCTGTAAGAGTCAGCCAGAAAAGACCATTAGCATTCTGGGCAAGATCAAGTTCTGTGGAGAGGTCAGGTTTGAAGTTGGTATGCAGGAGACAATTATGTACTAACAGATTAAAATTTATCATGTTTCTCACTGGGCTAAGTACTTAATAGAGTCATTACCCTTGCTGAGCCAACAGCCCTACGAGGTAGATACTTTACAGGTTAGGAAGCTGAGGCTTAGAAATGTGTTCAAGATCACATAGCTACCACAATGGGGAGGTCTGAGCCCTGGCCTGTCCAACTCCAAAGTCATCAGTCCTTCCACAATGCCATGCCAGGTTTAGACATGATCAAATTAGAAGAATCTGGCTGTAGGAAAGGAACAGCAAAGTCAAAGAAGGTTTGATTTTTCTGTTTTTGCTGTTTTAAAGGGAACACTGTGTAAGTGGCAGTGATGAAAAGCCCATGGGATCTACAGCTGGAAACTCGGTGCCGGGCCTGTCACTTGCCAGCTGACTGTTACCCTCTACAAATGCCTTCCTTATTGCAGATGAAATGGGGCAGGTCATAGGTGATGCAGGACCTGCAGAGTCTACTCAATTGCCTTCAGGGGGCAGCAGTAAGATTCCCATGCAAGAATGGCGCCTGGGTGACTCTTCCGGCTCAGGTCATGATCTCAGGGTCCTGAGATGGAGCCCTGCATCAGGCTCTGTGCTCAGTGGGGAGTCTGCTTGAGATTTTCTCTCTCCCTCTCCCTCTGCCCCTCCTCCCATTTGCTCATGCTCTCTCCTTAAAATAAATAAATAAATCTTAAAAAAAAAAGAAAAAATGGGCGTGGAAGGAGTGTGCAGAATGTAACACTGCAGGGCTGAGGGGCAGGGTGGCTCAGTGTTCGTGGGAAAGGAAGAGGTCAGAGGCACATGAAAGATGGTCTCCAGCTCCAAAAGTGCTTGGGAAGGTCCTGCAGGAGAGGAGAGGTGTGAATCAGGTGTGGGTTTTGTGCAGAGAAGTCCTAAGTGTGAGGAAGGCTTTTGACAAGTGTGCTAGAAAGCCGGGCTGAAGCCAGGAGACATAAATCAGATACCTGCAAGTTTTTTTTTTTTCTCTCCTCCTTCAAGAATGTTCTGCCTTCAGATTTTATGAAAAGCTCAGGAGTTTTATTACCCATTTTAACGTTTATTTTTAATTTTGCCCCTTTCATGTAACTACAGTGTGTTGCAACTTCCACACTCATTTTGCCATGTGCCTCATCTCTTGTACCAAAGGACTGCAAGTAGAAGCAGCTGCTCTAAAGACCCCGCCCACCGGACCTGTGCATTTCTGCTTGGTATACAGCTGAACATGCTCCTGGCCTAGTCTCTCATCATCTACCCACCCTCAAAATGAAGGCAGAATTGCTACAGACCCTCCCATCAAAGACTAAAGCAATTTAAACATCACTGGATCTGGCATTTCAGGAACTAAAAAGCAGAGCACTGAAGAGTACAAAACTAACAACATAAAAAGATATTTGAAATTATAAGGGCAATGATGCAAAAGATGGTTTACATCTCGGATAATTATGGCACCATTTTCCATAATTCAAATACTGATTAAATGGGTATATTAAATAGCCCAAATGGAAACTCATGGTTTGAAAAACACAAATGCATTATATAAGCATTCAAACTATGGATTCCAGGAGTATTAAATTCAGAATGCTTGTTTTTAGATGTGAATATGAATTAAAGATGTATTTATTAAGTGCTATTAAGTCCTTGCTTATACAGCAAACTAAAAATAGCATTTTCCTACAAATCAACTCATGAGGCAGAGTAGCAAGGAATTCAAAAGTAGGTGATAATGATTTGAAGTTGTGATTAACTGCTCTGAGATAACTAGCACAGAACATTCCTGTGAGTGCCCTGACAGAGTTACCATGGCTGTTTTAAAGTACTACTTTGTCCATAATAACTGGTAATTCTCTCCACAGTTCTTAAATCTTTTCATTTTGTATTTGTAATCTTTGACATTTAAAAGGTTTAAAAAATAATCTATTTCTATGTTTAGTGCCCTGATATTTAACTATGTACCTATAATAATCCATTTATTTCCCTTTAAAAGGGGTACTAATAATATGGATAGTATTTAGTTTTCTGACCGTGATTGGAGAAACACACTTAAATTAAATCAATCTGCTATATATGAGTACTACCACCGCCACTACCAGTTTCCTAAGAACCTTGGGCGTCCAACAGTAACCTTGGGCGTCCGCAGCCTCGACCTCTCCAGTCTGTTTCTCAAGCAAGGGAGAGTTAAGGAAACCATTTCAGGTGGTGTCTTTTAAAAAGAAGTTTCCTGGGGCGTCTGGCTGGCTCAGTCGTTGAGGCATGTGATGGACTCTTAATCTTGGGGTCATGAGTTCGAGCCCTACGTTAGGTGTAGAGATTACTTAAAAATAACATCTTAAAAAAAGAAATAAAAAGAAGTTTCCTGGAAAGTATTATTCATTCTACTACTAGTTGTTCTTGTGATAGGAGAGTTCTTCACACCGTCTTTTAAAAGTTGGATGCCACTTTCAGAGTACCACAATTCTGCAACAAGTTAATGTGACCATGGGTCAAAACTAATTTGGGTGTTTACAAATAGGATTGAAGAAACGACTTCTGACATTCTTAGTATTAGAGTAGCAATCTTGACCTCAATATCCAAACTTAAAAGGATCTAAATTTAAGAGTTAACTTGCACAGAGCTATTCTTTAGATCAGCACTGTCCAACAGAAGTATAACGTGAGCCATACACATAATTTAAAATTTTCCAGTAGCCACATTTATAAAAAGTAAAAAGAAATAAGCGAAATTTATTTTAATAACATATTTTATGCAATCTAATAAATCCAAAGTAATATTTAACATATGATCATATTAAAATTATAAATATGTTTTCCTGTACTAAGTCTTTGAGATCTGGTCGTCTTTTACATTTATGGCACATCTAAATTTGGACCAGCTGTATTTCAAAGGCTCATAGCCACAACATGGCTAGTGGCTACCAAACTGGAATGGTGTAGCTCTAGCTAAATTGACTTTAATTCTTATCCTCTCTCAGCAGTGAGGTCTCCTGCATTTCCTACACAGATACTTGTAAAGTCATCCAGTCATTCAAAAAAGATTCTAAACTCAGAAGATGTGTTTTTAAAAAAACATTTCCATAGAAGGAAACTCTACTTTTAATAATCCAAATCCCTCACTTAACAACTTCAATCTGGAATTCCTTCACTATTGTTAATCTAAGTCCTTCATTTGGTAGTTTTAAATTATTTTATCTTGTTTAATCTACCAAACACAAAAACAGTGGTCCACATCTACTGTACATTCCTGCCCTTTGTACACTTCCAAATTTACTGAATGACCTTAGACTATTCAATGCAACATTTGAGAGTTTAAGCGCCCCTCTATAAATCCTTGTTTAAGTATAATAGTCCTGTGAGATAAATATACTATTCCCATTTTATCGAGGAGGAAACTGAGGCCCAGGGTTCAGTGAGATGAAGAAGTTGCTGAAATCACACAAATAGTAAGTAAAGGAATGCAGGACTAATAATGGAAGTCTAGGGCTCTTTTTATCACACCACAATGGCTCCTGGGGCTGTAGAGTTTTCACGTGAGATCCAATCCCACAACAGTGCTAATGAGGTAACACTAACTTGGGTGACAAGCCTTCAAGACTGCTACGGAACCAGTTTATGTCAGCCTGCATAGTCACCAACGATGATTAGACTAGACACTGCTCTTTTCCTGACAAATGCATAAATATTGTCATTTATTTCCAATTTCTGGGTTGTGTTAGAA